AGAGAAGAGAAGAGAGAGAGAAGAGAGAGAGAGAGAGAGAGGAGTTTGCGTAATCTTTCACTTGCGTAATTATGGCGAATGTGTAGGTACCGATGTCGTCTCCTTTTCGGCGAATTCGAACAATGCAACTGGGATGAATGCGATCGATCCTTTGAAATGAGACTGGCATCTTTGATTTCGAGGATCAATTATTGATCCAACCTCGCAGGTGGAATTCCGCTCTATAAATTACTGTATGTACGTAAAGTTTATTAAACTATTGTAGTAATAATGTAAATTGTAATTCATAAAATTAAAATATTTGTTTTAAATTTGACAGTTTCTGATTTGATGTAATATAAATTATTCAATAATATTAGATATTGTTTAACGAATTAAATATTAAATAGATATAAACGATTAATTTTATAAAAATATTCATTTTTTTTTTATTCTTAGACGTATTATTAAATGTCTAGTGATTTATGGGAATGCATGCATCGAGAAATGATATCAGCCCAATGGCACTTGCGACGCAAAAAATTCACGTGATTTTAAAATGATCGTGCTATTGTTAATAGTCGGATGTTAATATCTATGGTTATTTAATCTGTCACCGTAGATAATGGAAAAGAAAGAGAACTTTTTTCCATTATATAAAACACGCATCGTCGATGCTAATATTTTAATACAATGAACAGATTTTATGTAAACTTGGCGTCATCTAAAAATATATTCAGGCGTGACAATTCCTCGAATTAGCATCAATATCCTTAATAAAATTTTTATGAATAAATTCATGAAGCATTTAAGAATGCCGATGGAGATAAAGATCGAATGCACTCAAAAAAAAAAGAAATTTCGTAAATCTGTATGTGGGCTTTAATGTCAAATGCAAACGAACCTTTTAAACTGCAGTTTGAGAGAATCTTAACTCGTTATTTCTTATAATCTAAGGTGCAGTGATGTTTATCGTGAACGACGTAACAAACAAATTTCTAATCTAGGTCAATGCTATGTTTTACCATCATTAAATTCTCTTCTTCTCTAATGTAATTTACATTTCATTGTGATTTATTGACATTCTTAAGAATATCAAATATATTCAAAAGCTAAAGAAATGATTAAAAAGACAATTATAATTCTATATGTCGTAATTTAATTTTAAGTTGTGAAAAAAAAAATTCATTGACATTAATGGTTAAAAAAGTTAATAACTCTACTTCTTTTTGAAAATCTACAGATTTCATTTGCAATAAATTAATATGTTTGTATAAATATATATAAAATATAAATGTTTGTATAAAATAAAAATTCAAAATTAATTAAATTTCGTTTTCTTTAGATTGATAGAAATAAACTCTTTATTTTATTATATGGAAGCAAATAATAAATATTAATAAATGATATCATTCTGTTTAATTCCTTTTTTAAATTGTTTTTACATGTTATTTTTTTTAATAAAAAATAATCTCTTATTTTTCAATATTTTCATGCTTTTTATCAAGTATAATTTTGAAGAAAAGAAAAAATTGAAATTAAATTATACTTACAAATCATTTCAATTTCTAATATTATAAGTTTCCTATATCACTTTTGTTACATTAATTTTTATTAAAAATAAAAATTTCTAACAATCTTCTAAAACAAGATTAAAAAAAATATCACATAAAATCAATCACGATTAAGTTAAAAATTTCATAAATATAAACAATAACTGTGATAGAAATAAAAACAAGAAAAAATTATTAATTAATAATTTTACAAATTAATCCAATATCCTCGAATAAGAGGATATAAAGAACGAAGAAATAGCTACGATTGTTTTATCTTGATCGAAAAGTGCTAGAATCTGCACAAAACGGATTGTTTAGTCGATCGTAAAACACGCTGAGCTCACATTATCGAGTTGCAAGTAAGCAAGAAATGTTACATTCAATTGTACCCGTTATTTATCATGAGGATAATGACATCGACATCTTAAACACCAGTTACTTACACTTCTGTGAGAATTGAATTCTATGGATACAAGTCCTTGGCATAGTGATCCTTGGTGTGCTGCTATGAACGCAACAAGCGTTCACATAATTGCATTAACCGCTACCTAATGTATGCAAATCAATATTTCTCTTCGTAAAAGAAAGATTTTCTATGAATGACAAAATCTCTATGTATTCTGATAAAAAGAGATAAAAACTGATTTTAAGAGTTGAACAAATATTTATGAATTTAAAAACTTATTCGTCACGAATTTTGTTTTAATAACAATTTCATATTTATGTATGTCTTTTTTCTATTAGCTTATGTTGGTAACTGTAAATAAATTCTTGTTTAGGATACGCGTAAAACACATGCGTCTAATTACATTAGACGAAACCAAGTAAACTTAAGATTTAAAAATAACTGAAAGGTAAAAGAATTTAAATTGATACGATAGGTATATACTTTTTATTCGAAAAATTATATGAAATGTGTACGAAAAAAAAAAGTTTTATTAAAAATATAATAATATTTTTAAATTAATAAGATTTAAATATTATTCATAGAGAGGAGAGAGGAGAAAGTACGTAAATCCATATGTACATCTATGTATGTCATTAGATATCATGGAATGAATAAATAATAACATTATTGATTTTACTACTTTTCATTGAATACATCAGTTATTTTTAATTTATGTAGCAAACTAAGTTTATGTTATGAATGTTGCTGATTTTATCATATTTCATCAAATATTATTACAATCATTAATATAAAATTATATAATTATATAATTTAAACATGACATAAAATTTATTGTAATTATTCATGAAATCCGTTTTTTAAATTTACGATTTTATATTGTTCAAGTAATCAATTATATCATATACACACATATATTGTAAATAGTATTTATAAATATTTGAACATAATTATCTAATAAACATTATAAAGTAAAATTATTAAATCAATTTTCATTTCAAAATTATATAATAGGAGTTTTAAACATTTCTTTTTTCACGTATCATTTATTTTATAAATTTACATAAATTCTTTTTTAATTTTATATTATATGTTATAAAATATAACAAAGAAAAAATATATGAAATAAGGTAAGCGAATAAACATAAGAAAAAATATTGTTCTATGATTTAACAATAATAAAATAGAATCATTAAAATTTTGTACGTGTACATTACATTCTGCCTATACCTATTATCTCTTGATTTATTAAGTTAATACAATATTATAATATCATTTAACACGTATATTATAATATTGGTGAATACTTCTTTTTTTTTTTTTTTCTTATTCTATGTGCATAACCATATGCGATGATCACATTCTTATATGTAAACAAAATTATATTACGAAAATGGAAGTTCTCAAATAAATTATTATATAACATATGTATTGATGATATAAAATTTCCTAGCATTTACTATTTTGCGTCGTTCAATTTCAACGTTAAACCATGTTTGACTTATGAGACTGTTTCTACTGACATACATACGAGTAACATTGTAATAAGTAGAATAGGTTGTCTATCTACAGGCATTAATATAGTTGACGTGCGATAATTTAAGTTTTTTTTTAATAATGTATATAGTGCAATAATAATAAATCTGATAATAATCAAAATAATATATTATTAGTTATCAATATTTTTATTAAAAAAATTTCTTAGAATAGCATTGAAATCATAATGCATATTATAAAATAATTTTTTATATGTGTAATTCTTATAATATAAAAATATCATATAGTATTCTCTATTATTTCTAAAAATTATAGATAAATAATTGCTGTTTTAATTTGCATTATTGCAAACAATAAGAAACAAAATAAATATTTTTAATTAAAAAGAAATATTTATTCTAGATAAAAAAAATAATCATTCTTTCATCATTTAAATTAGACTTTTTTTAATTATTACCAAATTAAATATATAATGAAAAAATAAAAAATGAACAATTCGATCTCAAAAAAAATTAAAGATCACCAACTATAATATTATTTTTTGCATTAAATATATTTTTCATTTCATATGTGTATGTATGTTCAGAATATAGTACAAATCCCAATAATCTTAAAATGATAATTAATTTGTTTAGCTCTATATAAATTAAAAATTAGAATTTATTCCACTTTCGATCCTTTGATTAAAACTTAATTTTTTTTCCGTTTCTCAAGATCATTAGAATTCGAATGCTTATTTTTTTTATTTTTTTCATAAATATATATCACAATGAAACGGTTAAAAATGTTCTGCGCAAATCCGTGAAGGAATAATCTTTCTACAATTCAAATTCATCAAATTTACTTCTTAATCTTATTTTTTAAGAAATCAAATTGGTAAACGATTTCTATAACATAAATCTATAAATACGTTTAGGAGAATGTCCACGTTCTCTCGTCGAAATATTTGATTCTAAAGAATGTTTTATTTAATTTAATTAAGCTTTAATCAGGACAAAAATTTCAACAGACTTTCGTTCCTTTATCCATCTCTTCTATTTGCATTTTCTCGTATCATTCTCATACTCGCTATCTTATTTAAAATCATCTCGTAGCAAAGTTTCCAAATACCACTCTATCTTCTACCAAGTCGCTTTCACAATCTGACTTTCTTCTCTCATTCGTTGCAACTCTCTCAAAGCATCCATCGATCACATCTACTAACGGGAAACATCGTGCAAAGAGTAAATCTCGATTCGACTAACTAGAAAATCGTAGTGAAGTTGGATCATCGAGTGGTGGGGATATCGGCCTGGCGAAGATTCACGAATAATTCCGAGCGGGGCGCGCCAGGTCCGAGTCCCAAGTTTCGTATCATTAGTACACGCAATGTCCACGAGAAGGCACTGTCAATTGAAAACGCGATAGGCGTGCGTGTGTGCGTTCGTCGCTGGTGCTGACGCACGATCGGCATACACAACACCGTCGTGACGCGACGTCGACGTACCGTAATCGCGTGCAACCGCAGCAACAAAAATCGTTCCGATTTTCGCGATTATTCTACGGGGACGTGTTTCAATTCCCCGAACGGGCAACGAAACTTTTGTCGATCGGAAACGTCACGCTTCCACGTGGACGGTTCCCCTGTTATCAAGCTCTCCTCTCCTGTACATCGATGGGTCTCGGTGACTTCATAGGAATGCAATCGACCCGGTCGAGGCCCTCTTCGATCTGACAGGTACTGGCTCGATAACACGTGATCATTGTCGCTTCGCTGCAGATATATACGTATCTTTGGTATTTTCGTCCGACTCGATATTCCGTCGATTCATCACAGTAATCATTTTTAATTCGTTGAATGTGTTCTTTCTTAATCTTCGTAAGTTTATACACGCGTCCTTTTTATATTACACGTAAAAAAAG